TTTTTCATGGGGTGCAAGTTTCCAATATGATCTTCATTCTTGCTTTCGACTATGACCATGTAGGGTTTCAAATCTCTGAAAGTATACAGGGTGTATCAGGTTTGACTACAAAAATTTTAACATGTGAAAATATGGCCCATTTTGAACAAAAAAAGTTTACACAACATGGGGTCCAAACTCAACCATTTTTAAGAAAAAGACCTTTGAAGTTTTGAAATTTTTTGAGGAATATTTCAAAGATAAATAAAATTTTAATCATTATCAGATGTAAAAAAATTTAGTTTATTCCATTATTAAGTGATTATGCATTTTTAGTCAACAACAACAACAAAAAATTGAAAAAACAATATTAAAATTTCACTTGTAAATGGGTATCTAAACATCTGGCAAAATAGCACAATAAAGAATAGGTGATTGAACGTTGAACCTTGGTTGAACTAAATAAATTGATTCTTGATTCGTCTGGTCTAGTTCGGAAACGCGCGTAATTCAAATTCGTTCTTTTTTGAAAATTTAATGTTCACAAATGTCGAATATGGAGATACTTGTTTAGGCAGAATCGTTGCAAAATGCTCATTTAGCCGCCAGAATTTACAGGAAAACTAGGGAAAGATTTCCCAAAAGAAAAGCACCCACTTGATGAAAGAACATTCTGTCCGTTTTACAAAGATTGCGTGATACCTGTAGTGTGAGTGAGCAAAATCTGCGTGTTAATTTTAGTGTTTTGAGAACCTTCAAAAAGAAATTAATAAGTATTTTGATAATAAGGATTTGATTTTTCTCTTGAATGTTTAGTGCAAAAATGTCATTGAGTGCAATTCACAACTTAATAAAACGGCACATATTTTATTTTTACTAGAAAAGTGATAAAAATGCAAGTTATAATTTACATTATTTGAAAGCCAATAACAAACCAAAGTAAACAGATGGAAATAAATAACCTCCGTGCAAAAAAAAACTTCAAAGTTACCAGTTTTATTTACATTTATTTCCTGGCAGAGATAATACCTGTACAATGTTGTGACGTTGTTAACATTTTTCTAAATTTAAATTCTGCGATAACTCCGAAAATAGTAACAATTGACCCATTGTTAATAGGAATAGGACACTATTAGCTTGGAATGAGTCATATTATCTCATGTAAAAATATTTGTACTCATACCTGATACAACCCTGTATAGGTAAAATTATGGCTATTTATCTTTTTTGCTTCCATATTACTAGGCGGGGGCCCCCGATGGCCCCCTGTGTCTTCTTTCATGTGGTTCTCAAACTATTTTAGGAAAAGCAAAAGCAGGAAACAGGATAAAAAAAGGCTATACTACTGCAAGAGGATTTAAATTTTGTGTTGGGGACTTACCCCCAGGTATCCTTGATTGATTTTTAGTATTCTAAAACTTTCTGTTTTTTTTTAGTTTCGCAAAAATTAATCAGAAAATCGGATACCGAGCTGTCACTCTCTGGCGCCAATCGTCGATAAAAATTAATAATGATTTTCCTTCAATGCAGACTGCTCGTATTCTGGGTCGTGAGGCACCACAGATAGCTTCCAGTTCCACGGACAAGGGCTTCGCAATTTTTTCTGAATTTAGACATTGGAATCTCTGAGACCATCAATAAACGCATATATTGCCATTCATTCCTGCATGTCTTCCCCAGCTGCAGAAAACCCAAACTCACTAGTTCTTGATTTAACTTGAGTTCTAAATACTTCTTTTCCAAAATGGTCTCCGAAGCGTAATTCTAACGCGTGACTTAGATGCTGGTAATTCTCATGGTAGATTGAAGGAATGTACTGAAGATCTTAGGCAGGTCCTCGTAGCGCCACTATCAGTTATTTCTTCTTGTTTTTCTTTTTGTCGCCTAGCCTCTTCGTCTTATTTTTGTTGTTGTCGTTTAGCTTCTTCTTGTTTTTTTTCTTTCTGTCGTCTGGTCTCTTCGTCTTTTTTTTATTGTTGTTTAGCTTCTTCGTCTTGTTTTTCTTGTTGTCGTTTGGTCTCTTGAAGTTCTAACATTTTGCGCGAAAGTTCGTCTATTTTGTTTTTTGTCTCGTAATAGGTATATACAGAATGTTCTGGAATTTCCCTCAATCTCTCTTCAAATATCTTTCCTGGTTTTTAATTGGAGTTCCAAACACTTCGGTGAAGTTAGAAATTGGATAACTTACTTCATTCTCGAATAGAACGTTCGAGAATTTTCTTGAAATGTATTTTCTGAATGTCGATTGATATAGCAGACACTTCGGTGAAGTCACATATTCGATATCTTTCTTGGTTTCCAAATAGAATTTTCTAGAACTTACTTGAAAATTCACTATCACAGTCAATATCGGGTACCTATACAGTCACTTCCGGGGTAATTTACACAATCGGTTAAGTCTCTTTTTGTGATTGTCACTGCTTATACTGACTAATTAATTGTCCCAGTGTTCACTTATTAGTGTCCACACTATTCCGTAATCGGATTTTACTTCGGAGTCCTCGAATAATATACCACTTCTGACACCAATAGTCACGGCTTTGGGGTGCGTGACAGAAATCTTGGGTCCTTTTATTCAAAATCAAAGTTCAATTAATACAACAATTATTTTTTCCACGTTACTATACACTCCGACACTAATTACCTACCAGTGGCGGATCCAGGATTTTCTTCAGGGGGGGGGGGCGCAGGCTAAGAATGATCAACAATGATTTTTTGAAAATTTATTTTTTCTTTACTTATAAGTTAAAGAATGTAGATACAGGGTGGTCCAATTTGGACACTTTTGATCTGAAACGTCAATTTTTGAGCCAGATACATAAAAATGAACTCTCCAGTCTGCTGAGACTCAAATTTGATGATATCTTGATTGGTGCAAACATTGCAAACCGCCTTTTGATACCCTCAATCGTTTTGTCGCTAGAGGGTGTTTCTCGATTTTGAGCGATAAGGTGAAACCTTCCTAACTTTTTTATTTATGAAAATAATTGATTTCTGTATAAACTTTCTGGAGGTACTTTTCCAAGCAGAATTCAATGACGTACTTTTTATATCTGTCTTATTTTTGAAGTGAATACTTCTTTGGCCGCATGAGAGTGATTTTTCAAGGTCGCGTCACGACACGATTTATAAAATTTTCGTCTCGCAAGTGAGATGAAGTATATGATGAATATGAGGGAGAGAGAGAAAAAGAGATCGATAAATAAGTATTTACTTCTATCACGTGTACTGTGCTGCACGCGACTTTTTTTTTAAATAAAAAACCCTATATATTAATAACTCATTGATAGCTCTATTATTGCTTATTTTAATGACACATAATATGTAACCTTATATTATTCAATAGGCCTATCTCTAACAGTTTTCTAGAAAAAAAAAGTATAGATGTTTCAGTCCTTCTAACACATTGTTTAGAAGGAGACCTATCTCATTTTCTTTATGGATATAGAGTTCTTTTCTAACACATTGTTTCTTTATGACAAAACAGATATAATATTTTTTTCTGGAAAACTCGAGAGGTTATTCACTAAGAGAAAAATGTGACAAGATTTGAGGGATTTCGGGTGATTTCGAAGGATTTCTGTAGGATTTCGGAAAGATTTCGAGGGATTATTCACTGTGACAAGATTTCGGATTTAGAGCGATTTTGAGGGATTTCGGTTGATTTCGAAGAATTTCGGGTGATTTCGAAGGATTTTGGGTGATTTCGAAGGATTTCGGGTGATTTCGGAGAATCTCAGGTAATTTCACAAATATTTCAATTTGATTTTAAACTGCTACTTATCTCATAAGTATATTCGAAAGTGTATTAGTATCTATAAAAACTGAAAAACGGCCGCGTTGACCGATTTACGAATTTTGGGCCAATTGCGAGGGATTGTTGGGTATGCGGAATGATTTCGGCGGATTTCGGAGTGATTTTGTGGATTTCGGCGATTTCGGTAGGATTTCGGACGAATTTGTGACACGATTTCGGGGAGTGATTAACCCTCTGGAAAACTCGGACAAAAAAGATAAACCTATCGAACTTTATATCATTAAAAGTAGCAAAAGCAGAGCTATTCAATCAGTTATTAATATATGTAGATATAGGGTGTCCGATGTCCCATCAAAACAATCGGACTCTGGTTAATATCTCGAATTCAAGAATAAATAGAAAAAACTGAGTAAGTCACTAGATTCTCTAGCCACAAAACGGTTCAAAATTTATCATAAAATTTGAGCCTCAGAGTGGGGGCTGATTTTTTTGTATCTCGCTCAGAAATTAACGTTTTCTATTAAAAGTGTCCAAATTGGACAACCCTGCACATATCAAAAAACCGAAAATAACAAAAATACCTATTCCAAATAAAAATATAGGACATTTATCTGATAAAAACAAAACGATAAATTGAACAATAGTGTAGCTTGGACAATTTTCCAATAACATTTTATTGGAAAATTTTTCCATGAACTTTTATTGGAAAATTCTTTTATAAAATTTTTCTATCTATGATTTCTTTTAAAAAAATTAGTAGTTTTCGAGGCTCTCAGGGGGGGGGGGGGCGCCCTCCGCGCCCCCCCTGTATCCGCCACTGTTACCTACTTCACTAATTAAATCAAACTCCTTACAACTCTCACAATATTCACTGTCTAAATTTATTCATATCACAACCAATCTTAAACTAAAAACTACTAACTGATACCGGCCATCATATATCCGTAATCCATTCTTGTAAAATCCAGAATAAACGCGATAATCTCTTTTCATGAATGAGGCGGTACTTTCTAGATTTCAGGTTTGATTCTGTGCACCCTGGCGAAAGTGCACCGCCACAATGTAAATCAAAGAGAGAATTAAAAATCTAGTTAAATATAGGGAACATTTTTCAGGAAAAAAAACACAATTTATCAAATTATTTGTGAAGGAAGACTTTGTGTTTTTCTTTTGGATTTAAAAATACCATACTGTGAGATTTTTCTGTATTTCTTACCCATAAGGTGTATCATGCCCCATCGGTACCGGCCGTCCAGGCAAATACCCCCATTGATTATTCTTTTTGGGACAAGTTTGCGTACAAGGCCTTCCAATAATTGATTTTGGATATTTCACAGACTTTGCAAAATAACAAGCTGATTGAAAATGACTACAACGTGAAACACGGAGCGGATTTCCCTTGCAACCAGGTTGTTTCATCCCTCCATTAACGCAAAAGTCCACGTGCCCCACTTGATTGACTTCTCCTAAAAATCCAGAGTTTGTATGGATAATTTGGACGTGGTATGCATCGTCTTTTGTTAATCTGAAGTATTTGTTGGCATAACGGTCGATGAGCGGCCTTGCTGGATCCAAACCTAACAAATTATTTATTAAGTATTTGGTTTAATTATTATGTTATTGTTAAGTAATAAATAAGGCAAATAATTTACTTTCAAAGACACCAGATATTTTCAAGAGGTAGCCACGTTTTAGGAGGCTCCCATCAAACCGAGAACTAATAATTGGGATGAGTCATAAAGCGATCACAAAGTTCGAAAGCAGTTAGAGATGGTCGGCGCGTAGGTACAAAACATTTGAAGACCAACGCGGGCAGGGGTACGGGGGTGCGGAATGTACATAGGCCTTTATCACTGTTTTTCTATGTTTTAGTATGCAGGAAACTTTTGGGTTCAATGCAAATCGTGGTGCAACGAATTTATATAAGTAGGTAGGTACAAGGTCCTGCATTTCACCTCCCGTTTTCGTTTTATGCAGTTTAATAATAATTGATTAAGCATTCTTATATTTTGCAGAAATTGTTTTTCAAGCGTTCTACGATTTTTATTTGTTGAAATCGCTATTGTACTAGTAGACCGAGAGATAGTAACAGATTTTAGTGACGCTTTTAACCAGTATGCCGTATACTTCTTAATGGAAACCTGTTTAAAAACACGGCTTCATTTTTCAATTGTCGCATTCTGGACGAATTTTATTGTGGATTCATGGCAGCCTGGGTGAAATTGTATCAAAAGGCTTAATTTGCAAACAAATGTTAATTAATTTTAATATCCCAAGTAGCACATAATATTGGGTAAACACCGTTTTTCAGTTGGGCCAATATTTAAAAATAATCTTGTACCAATATTGTTTCATAGATTAATTAAGTTCTCAATAATTAGAATATTGGCTCAACATTATTCACTACAATATTGATTATTGATTCATGAAACATATATGGCATTCAATTTTTGACACTTAAATTCACTTTAAAAACTTTGTACGGCCAATATTTATTTTCAATTTTGTCACAATATTGATACTTTTTGAAAAGCCCAATGTAAGGCAAATATTTACATACTAATTTTTACCAAGGTTACAACTTGGTGTGCCGACCAGAAAATAGATGGAGACTCTGTCTTCATTTTATCTCTCTCAGACCTAGTTCCGGGATGGAACCAAAAATTGTGTTTTTTCTCTGCAGGACCCTGACGGGACTTAACCGTGCTGATGAGCTATGATACAGCGAAACGCGTCCACGGATGGTCATGGGATGGTCCGGCAGAGAGAAAACACTTCTCAATCGGTCCTTATGATTGGTCAAGCCACATACCTACATATTTGGGCCAATATTGGTAATTTTAATTGGCTCTATATTGCATGAAGTTCTTGATATAATATTGATTATTTTTTCTGGGCCAACATTTGGTTACGTTATTGTACCAATATTGGTATTTGTTTTTGGGTATATATTGACATACGTTCTTGGACAAATATTGCAAAATGTTCACATCTTTTACTGGGCCAACATAGAAAATCTGACTTGGGCCAATAAATTACACATTGTCCCAATATTGGCCCAACATAGGAGTGCTACTTGGGATATAGATAAAGACCCGGCATGCCTGTCTACTTTATGATTTAATAATAACAGAATATGAGTAAACCCTATTACCCTCCAAAAGGCATACCTACTGGATAAAATCACGTCCGAAAATCTGTCACTATCTCTCGGTCTATACTCTATAGGTGCAAAAATCCAAAAATGAGTTTTTGCTGAATAACTTTGAATGTGTTAGGAATTTTAATAGAGTTGTACATATTTCAAAAAAAAAATGTTTTTCTTAATTCCGCATCGAATGACATAGTACAGGGGCTCAAATTGACAATAAAAAAATAAAGTACACCTACTTCAAAGTTTGAACTGTTTGAAGACTTTGACACCAGACTACAACAAAATTTTAGGGGGTCTTTCTGTATAGGTATTCGTAGGAGATATCCAAATATGCAAAAAAAAATATAGGGCCTGAAATCTAAGAAAATATATCATCATGACGTCAAACTTTTTTGGGACACCCTGACAAACTATTTTCATAAAATGGTGCAGGTAAAGTTTGCAAAATATTAAAATTCTAAATCAATTAATAAATGAGCTACATAAAACCGCGGATATGAAACCTCTGTGGCGTTATTAAAGGGGATGTGCGCCAAAAATTGAAGTTTTAGAGTAAAAAAATCTAAGAATAGAGAGTTATTGGACGTGCAATAAGGACAAGCAGTATTTAAAATAGCCTTATTTTGACATCTACGCATGCGCATTTGGGCCAGAAAATAAGGATCCCCTTAATAAAGTTACTGCTTGTCTTTATTTGCGTATAGTTAGCGCGAGGCAGTAAACTTCCCTTATTTCAATATTTCTGACTATTTGACATTTCGCTTTTGTCGAGCTGTCAAAATTATGAATACAAAATAAAGGTAAAGTATGTTTTTTTTTTAAATGAAAATCAAAATGACAATATGTTGGCAATACAATGTAAAATTGTCAATGCTCTCAAGTTTTTCATGTAGAAAAGGCTTGTGTTGCCAACATAGTTACTAAATTTTTGACTTGGGGAATTATCTTAAAAAAAAACGGACTTTAATACTTATAGTGGAATAAAATCACTGCTCTAACTCGCTGTTTTCTGAAGGTGGGTGATTCCGAGGTATAACCAAATGAAACCTATATCATCTTGTAGAGGACACTCTGGGGCATAGGAAATGGGAATGTACAACTTTTTTTAGTAGGACTGAACTTTGAAATCGGCCTTTAAACGTGACTGAGCTCTAATTTGAAAAACTATGTTTTTCTAAACATTACCCGCTGTATTAATTTAAGCATACAATCTAAAATTCTGATTTTTTGCAGACTTATACTTGAAACATGAGCGCTTCTAATGAGAGTTCAGAAATTTCGAAAAGGCTCATGGTTTTTTTGTTAAAAAGTTAGGAATATAGAATTATCAAAATCGTGCATCTAAAACTTCACCCTGCGGCGAGCAATAGTGTATTATTGAAAATTTCTATACATATATATCGAATCAAATGTAGTAAAAACATTGACGAAGTTTAAAAAAAAAATTAAGGTGCTAACTTTAACGGTTATAGAAATATAAATTTTTATCCAAGAGCCCTCTGGAGTGCGCTCATCAGCCCATCGTGAACCGCGTCGCGACGGAATTATTCGTGCATTCACCGAGAGGTGTATTTTCTGATTTTTCCAGTTTTGTGCGTTCGTATGCGAAAAATAGCTAAGTCTGATTTATTATCACAGTTTGAACCATATTCAACAGTTGCTTCTCTTCGAACTGATGTTAAACAAGGGTGTGACTAAAAAAAGCAACTTAAGCTACTTAAATCAAGAAAAAAAATCTGAGATCTCCCGTGGAAACCGCAGTCTTTCATTCAACATACTATCCGAGAAAATTCTTCATGAAAATAAATTTTGCGGGAACTTGTGACGTCAGACCGGCTAACCGCCGAAATCATAGCCTTCTGTTTGTTCAGTGGTTGAACCGTGCCCTATACTTTAAGTGGTTGCAATTTGCTTTAAGTGAGATCGTTGACTTTTGTCTTGGAAAATTTTACACATATTTTAACTGTGCCTCTGAAGCCAGTGTGACGTCACAGCCTAGGCATTTGTCACTTTGAACCACCCTTATACTCGAAAACGGGATCGTAGCAAGATGCAGTTCAAATATTTGTTCTTAGATTTTTTCGCACTAAAACTTAATTTTTGGGTCACACCCCCTTCAATTCACTTATAATAGATGGCATGGTACTTATTCAAGGACTACATGATAAAGCATTTTCAACTTAACTTTCAATGAACTCGCATGTATTTTTCTGAAGCAAATTCTTTCACTTGGTCGGTCGAAGGTATCAAGCACTGAGGATAACGGTGGTTTTTAATAGATGAATCGGTCGTCTTTGGAAAGACGCAGAAGAAGTAACTTCGCAGATACGTATGCGTATGAAGTTTCTGGAAAGAGAAAAGTGATGAAGTTTCGGAATTTTTTAAAATTGTCAGAAAATGAAGAATCCCTATTGGTAGGTAACTGATTATATTTTGGAACATTTGGCTGACAAATAGAAGAAACTCTAACCATCGGTGGTTTTGAAAATCCAGAGTTATGCTTTTCTGTCAACAAGGATGGTGTAACCGTGTAACCGAATTAAAAGATTTGAAATCGAATCATGATGAGACTGATGCACGACTTATAATCCACGTCTTATATGAATATCAAATACTTCACCAAAAAAAAGTGTTGGTGAAGTCTGCAGATGCAAATGTTCTGGTATTACTTATGTATCACTATTCTGAATTTATTGAAGTAAGTTCTTTGAAAGAAACCTACCTTTTTATGGAATTACGACAAGGGAATAAAAAACGGATCATTCCAATAAATAGTGCAGAAACTGGAAAATGAAGTTTATAAATGTTTACCAGCGTTGCATGTGTCAACAGGATGCGATACCACAAATGCAAAGGAAAAAAATGTATTTTCTAAAAATCTTGGAACCTTATATTGCTACCAAATTTGCATTGGCCTTATTCAGAAATAAGAACGAGGCCCTAAAAACCCTCGATGAATTGAGATATCAATTGACCACAACTTCCAATAAATCCGCTTCTGAACTTATACCCACAGATTCACAGATGATGCATTTTACCAGCATGTACTGAGCTAGGTGTATATATAACAAAAGAAGCTGTATTTATGCGATAAACAAAATTTCAGGTGCATATATTAACTGCGTATATGGATATCCAGTCATATACCTATTATGCCTATACTTGACCCTGTTAACTTTGGTTGGACTAGGAGTAATGGAATTTTTGAGCCTGTTTTGATGACTGCTGATCCCATACCAATGGATATAAGGCAAATAATGAATGTCTTCTCCGAAGATAAATTATGTCAAAATAATAAATCTGTCTGCTTGAAAGAGGGTTTAACATGCTGCAGCGATTGTTCCTGCAAAAGTTGTCAAAATAATGTTCCTGATTTATATGAGGATGACGAAGGAGAAAATATTTGAACTAACTTCATAAAAA